ATTCTGACCATGTGTGATTCTAATCATGAGTTTAAATTTTTTTATATCATCGCACGTCGCGTTGCTGGTCACAAGATCCCTCTCATTAGTGAGAGGGTTTTTGGAGCAGTCCACTACTGAGGTGGCCTCAATGCGAACAGGTGGACTTCAATCATATCCTTCAAAATATTTTATTTAATCACACATAAATAGCAGTTTTCTCACGATGTTTTCATCGACCGATAATTATAGAGGTAATACTTTATTGACGGTTATTTAGCGTATAATAAAATTACACATAGTTGCACCCCTGAGCTACCACGAGTTTTTTATTTTAGTTAGAATGTCAAAGTTAGTCGCTTACAATTTTTAACACAAACATTGAAAATAATTACCCTATATTCTAATAATTACTATCGTCACAATAATTTATTATTATAGAACATTATTTCATTAAGTACCACCTATGTTCCATTTAATTTTTGTAAAATAATGTTGTATAATTTCATTTTTAAAAAATTACAAAACAGAGGATAGATGCTGAGTATCTTTCGCCCTTTTTTATACGAATAAAGGAACTTAACTATAACGGGTAGTTAAATTATTATATTTGAATATACAACATTAAAATCTATAATAAAAAAACTAAAACTAGTAACTTAATTAACATTCAGTCCTACTCTCCGCGGTATTGTGCCAAGAATGATGGCTGCGTTTCCCCGCTGAATGGTTGTACTTAGTCTTTGAGCGAGAAAAGAACCAGTCTTCTTATCACCAGCAGCAACAGCCAGTCGCGGATAGAGTTCCTTTACGAACTTCACCGCACGAGTATCCAACGGACCGCTAATCTCTTCAGCAAATAGCACAAATACATAGTCATCTCTGAGAGACTCATATTTTCGGCAATTACTCAGTTCAGCTGCCTCTGATGCCGACCCGGCTCTAAACGAGGCACCCTTGAGATGAGAGGCCGCCAAAGTGTCTTTTTTTATAGGATAGGGTGACAAACGAGCACACAGTCCACCTGATGGTAAGTGGTTGCTGTGACCCATGGACATCTACATCCTCAATAAAGAATCAAAATGCAGATGCGTCGTCACCCGTGAGAACTAAGATGGATTGCCTCCTTTCCAGTAAAATGGGTCTCCGGTTCTCTACACTCACCATACGAAACACAGCAGTATCAAGATTCTGTGAAAGCGTGGTCCTTGCCCGGTCGAGCCGACCCATTCGTGCTACAACTAATACTACTAACATAGCTGCAACATGGCTCTACCACGTATACGTGTCTACGCAAGTAGCACCTATGGCTTTACCTCTTTCCCAAGGGACCACTGTCATACCGTCGGGTATCCTGCCATCTATCTCCACTATTAATAAAAAATAAAAAATGAAGTTAATATTCCAAAAGGCTCTAAAACCGAGGGAAAATTTATAGAGACAAGAGCCCTTCATGTCCGTGTCATGAAAACCTACCAGTACTTTTCTTACATGAAAGGCCATGGAGCCCAAACTTGTCGACGCTGCGATCACAGGATCACATTCCTACTCCTAGTCGGATTCCTACGGCGATGCGCAAGATTACCCTATCAAGTAATGTGCCGAGATTACTTGATGATAAAGTATTTAACCAGTGATTAGATTCCTTAGTCGAAACAACTAGAAGGCGTGCTTGATGTTGTTCACTATGGAAATTATGAAACAAATCTTTCTGCACGTTCTGTACCAACGGAATATCCCACTGTTTTTGTTGATTAACTTCCGGTAGAACATTTTCGCCAGGATGGAGCGTTCGCTATACCACATCAATACCACCAAATTTTATAGGTTGAGTTTTACAGCTTGGGTGCAAGCTGCTGTATTTAAAGTTTAATTTAGAATGTTTTCTATAGCGATTTTAAGGTTATTATTAATATCTTTTAAATTTATATACGAACATTTGAAGATTAGACTCGAGCGGACTAAGTATGTAAAGGAATAGTTAGTATGTATGTCTAGGTACAAGGATACAATACTTTAAAATAGTAAGAGCAATGTGGGGGTTTAATTTATACACTTTATCAACGTAGTTTAAAAACTGATCAAATGTTGTTTAAAACACGTTTAATACTATCGAAAAACAACGGGGAACCGGCTCGTATAGTGATTCCGTACTGACAGTTTTATTCCTGGAGAAATATGATCGAAATATTGTATTAAAGTGTCAAGTGGTTCAAGACCAATGTTGTTAAAATTTCGAAATTTCTTTATGAGTAAGAGCACAGAGGACGTCTTCTGCTCTACCTTCCAGAGTGCCGTCGTCCAGGCACCAGACATTCCCAAACTGAAAAGTGTTGGACATTGTGGGCACATTCCTATTCACCTACAGCAGAATCGCTAATATAGTTTTCGTAAATCAAGTTAATATTTTAACTGTTATAATTTATGTCTAACATATTTGGATAACAAAACAAAATATGTTGTACATAAAATAAATATCATTTTATTTTATTTTATTCTGATTAAACGTTTAAATCATGTTATAAACACAAGATCGAAATTTAAACACATATTTTCAGAAGAATATAGAACTCTTGATTTAGGACATAAAAAATGCCTTAAAATACTTCTGTTGCTTCGCCGACCACTGCCTTTGTGCCAACCAGTATTCTAAAGTTTTTACTCATTTCACTCGTCACCGCACATTTCATTGTTGTTTTCCATCTATTTATATTCAAGAAACTATATTACTTGATCAATATAATACCTTAGTTGTATAAAGAAACATATTTTTTCAGTTTATCGTTAAAATAACATATATTTAAGGTATTAGGACCAAGCTGCAGCTATATTACGGGTGTAGCAAAAATGGGTCGGTTCGACCGCGTTAGGACCACGTTCTCAAAGAATACCAGCGTAAAATAGCAGCTTAATGAGACAATGAGTGAGTGTAGAGTACTGGAAACCTTTCTTACTGGTAAAGAGGCATTCTATCTTAGTCATCGGGGTTAACATCGCATCTGTATTTCAGTTCTAAATCGAGAATAAATGGGATATCTATGGGCCATTGCATCCACTTTCTATCAGGTGGACTATGTGCTCGTTTCTCACCCTTATTCTGTAAAAAAAATAATATGTTGTACTAAATGATCTTGGTAACGTTTCCAAATATTACATAAATTATTAAATCGAATATCAAATAAAAATATACAAACAGTTTGTTATTTCTCATGGCATTGATAACCAATGTGAATTTCGAACAAATTAGGAACAATCTAAGTGGTTTGATTAATTAATGACGGTAATTATAATTTAGCGTGAAGGACTAAAAAATAGTGTGTTGTTTTAAATGACCAACTGCTAGTTCTGAGTTATTAAATTAATGAACTGTAGGGTGCGGTGCAAATTTAGTATTTCGCGATACTGCAAATGCCCTAAATTCAATGTTACAGAAAAGACGTGAATTAATGCATGTGCACGCACCTGGACTTCTGCTAATCTGCCTCGTGTCTCAAGAGCTGCAGCCACGATGATTGGACGCCGGCTTTCTTCACACATAAAATTCACAGATAATCGCGACATATGTATAGCTTTATTGTCAAAGTCTATACACTTTACGACAATTTTGTATAGTTTAATATCTAAATTACACAAAGTAAAAATAATTTGAACCTAACACATTAAAATCCTAGCAAATAAGTCTATTTTACTGTATCGGGTTCAAATTATCTTTTCATATTAAAATTATAAAAAGGATAATGACTTTGTACGTATTTGTATAATATGTATAAAAATCTTGATTATTGGTATTAATTAACATTTTTTTAAATAAGAATAAAATATAGTCATTACTACGTTCTATTCCAAAAATAAAAAAAAATATCAACAATTAAAATATGGAACTATTTGTATGTAGTTCAAGTAAGCGCTAGAGAAACGACGATTGCAATTCGTTGTCGATAAATAAAATGTTTTGTGAAGTACACTCAAATAACTATTAGGTAGAAAGAAACAAGGGCATAGAAACACTCGAAATTTCATAAAGAATATGTATATGAATATGAATTTCAAATAGTAATTGAGATTAGACGTCGTTATCTATACGATATCAGTCGACTTTGGGTACATTAATCATCCCTATTTCTATAAAAATTTACTTGGAATTTAAAATATTATCACCCACTTTGTATCTTAACATGATACAAATAAACGGTGTCAGTCATAATTAAAATTCAAAGCCACTTGTTCATGTTAGACTGATTTCATACATACATATATATATTTATTATTGTACATAAAGCGTTACCAAATATTGTAGTAGCGATTTCCGCCATTAGTGTGTAGAATAAATGCTGTAGATCACATTTTTACAGCATTTAATCTACACTCGTGCTTCTTCTTTCACGCCCTACTTTCATTACCATTAAGGTAGGGACTATCACATCATTGTGAATTCCCATACGTGCCTTTTTTGACACAAGGAAAGCGACATTAGCCTAATGGCAGGGCGTGGACCGCCAACTGGAAAGGTTGTGGGTTCGAATCCGCCATTCGACTACTAACACAAGCATTTTATGCTTACCAGACGTGTTTAAAGGGAATAATAGTAATGTTTGATAACAGTACTAGTATTTTTTTAAATATAGAAATGTACACTAATACATCAATGCCATACTGCATTCAGGGTCTACATACTGGCGCAGATTGTTGCACCCTGATGTGTGTTTATCTCGCGTATGACAAAGTTGGGGAGAACATTTTCAGAAAATCATAACGTCCGTATTTTTTTTACGTTCGTGTTGAATATTTATTTCTCTCACGTATTCTAACACTTATTTCTCATTATAATTGGCTGTTTATAAAAAGAGTAAATTGGAATATTTCTGTCATAAACGTAGTGATTATATTCTCTTTGATTTCTATCATATTAATGTGTCAAAATTTGTATAATCAGATATATTATATAGAAGTAGGTTTTGGATTCGATATCATTTAATTATGTTTCTGAAATTACCATTCAAATATGAAAAACGAAATACAAAATGTTCAAAATTTTACTAATTTTTTCATACTTGACTAATAAAATTAACTGTGTATGTAAGTATAATATTATTAAAACCATTTAACAATGAGTATTTTCATAAAATATCTTCCAAAATAAATCCCTTAAAACGTGAGTGATGAAAAAATTCCGTAGCTTATGTATTTTTCTTTAGTCTTTTTAACTCCACATTTGATGGACAAAGGCGTTTCAAAGAATGTGCCACCTCTCTTATATAACTTGAAATCGTTGCCCAAATTTGTCATATTTGGGAGGCTAGACGGATGTGGTAGGTTATCAGATGCCATGCACTATAATGTTAGAATAACATAGTCTTTACAATATGTAAAATTAAAACAATGTATATTGTAAAACATACACTTTCCTCTTGTATGTAAATGTGTGTACATATACTAGAAAAAATTACTATAAATTTATCATTTTTGAACTGAGCAACGTAATAACACATTTCAAAACATTCCGTTATCATTTAAATAAAATAACAAAGTATCACTATAATTATGACACAAATTCAAACACAATACACGAGCACTTAATAAAAGATAAAGTTGAATTAATTGCAATTAATTAATTGTTGTATTAACAGAGTTTCAGTATACAAAAATGATACATGTTTTCGCATATGAAATAAATGGTACAGTTAGTTCATAGTGAAACTTATGTTCTGGTTCAAACACACAATAACCACAGCTATTTGAAAGATGGTTCCTTTTCTACCAAGAAATCATCTGTGTACCGTATAGGTAACTGACCTTTATATACCATCATGCAGCATTGCACCGATTACTGAGACCTAGATTGAAAGACAAAATAATCTATATAATTACAGGCTATAAGGCCTTTTTTCTTAGTAATCACGGTTGACAACGCAAATTTGGCCTTCTATGTCTGAAGTAACTTGTCGAGATCAATGACATGCATAAGACACTTACTATCAGGTGGACTGTTAGGTTGCTTGTATTCATATATGACGGGATCTAGTTGTCTTTTGGCAAAGACGTGAATTAAAACTTTTTTTGCATCTAAAAAAGAGTAAGGTTGATAAACGAGCACTCAACCTTCCGTCAGTGAACAGACAAGCACTTAAGTGCTGATTTGTTTGTGAATTAAATTAGTTAGAAAAATGCAGCATCTCTTGCAACTGTTTTGCATACCATAGCCGCAGCTTTCGCTGTAGCTATGGTATGCAAAACAGTTGCACCGTGCCTCTGCCATGTGACCTGCAAATTGGTACATACGAATAAAATATGTTTCCGTTTCAGATTTTAATGATTATGATGAAGTAACATACATAAAGAATTATTTTACTCAAGAAGATCGTGACTTCGTTCCTATAAACACACTTTCTAAGGATTCTGAAAAAATCGTCGCTACAAGAAATATAAACTGCGATGATTTTAAGAACTACGCGCTTAACTGCACAATCCAAGCGGCGCGCATATATAACTCTAGTAGAAAAGCTCCACCAATGCCTGCAAATATAAGTGATTGGTGCCGGTACGTATTATTATTATTTTTTCAATACATATTTTTGAGGTGTGTGTGTGTGTAGAGTGACCAACATAGCCCAACGGATTAGTAAGCTGAACTGGCAATGGGCCGGCCATATAACTCGAAGAACCGACAACCGATGGGGAAAAAACGTTCTCGAGTGGCGGCCTCTTACCTGCGGATGAAGTGTAGGGCGTCCCCCTACTAAATGAAGTGACAACCTGGTAAGACATGAAGGAAGTCGATGGATGCAGGTGGCTCAGGACTGTGCTTTGTGGCATTAATTGGGGGAGGCCTATGTTCAGCAGTGGACTTATGAAAGTCTGTAATGATGATGATTATTTTTGACGTAATACAAAGATTTCCTTCTCCGTGCATTTACTACTTTACATTACTACTTTACATTACATAACTACTTTCCTTCTTCTGCATGCATGTTTATCCAGTGCGTAATAAGTGTGCGAAATTCAGTGGACAAAAATTTACTTTATTGGAAACGTTTTATCTTATAATCAGGAATAATACCTCTCACATTATCAAAAAATATTACATGACTATCGCTTAGAAAACGATAATTCGAACATTAGTTTTTTTCTGGCACTTAAACTATAATTTTTTATTTTGATAAGAATTTAATTGTGTATTTAATGCATGCGCACATTTTTTACCGAACATATAATATTTAAAAAAGTATAAATTATCGCGAGTCAAGATTGTATCCAAAATATGATATTTTGTCGAAGCTGGCTCTAAGAGAAATATATATTTTAATAGTCTCCGTCGTTACCCGTAAATATTTCATTGGAAACAAGCCTCTTCCATTTGGTTTTCCCTTCACAAGGTGCATTTGCATGTTTTGGTAAGCTCACGCCTTTGACATTGCTCTTCGTCGCTAGCCCGGGTATTTTATATTCACGTACACCATCTACGTACTACATTTATTAACTAGTCAATACTCCATTTAGCGGGAGGCAGCCTTAAACTTTGATTACCTAGCTGATCAATAAACTCAAGTGACAATGGGTCGGCTGAACAACCCACAACCAAGAGGAAGAAAGACTCGTCATTTAGCTCATACTAAATATTTCGCGTAAATCGTTATCAAATTCAATTTAATTAAAGATAAATTAAACAAGTACATTTATATTTTTTAATTCGTGGTAGGACTCCTTTTCTGCTTAGGAGTTATGTACCAAACAACGGTACCACTCTCTCACCTATTTGGGCATCTCTATTCTTCTTTGAAGCTAGATGCAAATGTCCAAGCACTGTCGTAGCAACTAACCATTGGATGGATTGTAAGATCGATTGCCTCTTAAGTTTTAAATTAACACACAAATTAATGAAATTGGTTAAAAATATATGTAAAAATTTATTACGGAATATATATTATATTCCTCAGTCTCGGTATTTATCTATTTCTGCCGTCAAGTGTAACACCTACGTGATGATAAAGTTTTTCTTTAGAAAATGAGACAGTGAAGTATTATGTGTCAACACATTTTTAGTGTAGTTTTTTTTTTATTTTAAATTCCACTTGCAATTACTAATAAGACTAAATAAACCAATAAGTTGTTGCTATAATACATATTTAACAACTCGTATTATATCAGGTAAAACAATAAATATAGAAGCTCATTTTTAGTGTAAAGAAAATGTACTAAGCCAGTGACACTTATTATTTTCTAGAAAAATGTCACTATGTAGCCACACGCGGACGTGCTTCCGTATTAAATTCCCTTTACTATGACTAACAATGAGTTTTCTAGAAAACGGTCTTAACTTTTACTGCAGGCAGTCTCCGTATAAAAGGAAGGCAATCGTATGAAAATGCACTGCAAAAAGGAACTAGCTCATATTGGGTCCTTCTTTCTGAGATATATCGCTGATATACACCAACCGATTTCAAACCTTGTTGGTAAAGAGCTTTGATAATTTCAATTTGAGAACTTTGGGCGAATAATTGAGTCCAGGGACAAAGCAGCTGCAAGGAAGTTAGACATTCTTGTAAAGATACATTTGGGAAATATTTTTACACTTAGCTATTCGCAGGGTAGTATTGCGGGCACACTTTTTTAGCAATAAGTCATCGAACAGCAGCATTAAGCCGCTATTTTATCTTGGTATTCTGTGAAAAAGTGGTTCCTCCCCGGTCCAGCCTGCCCATTCGTTCAATAACCATAATATAATTGCAGCATAGTTCTACCACGTATAAATGTTATTTTTACATTTTGAATATTACTAATTTTTTACATTAAATTGTTATCATGGGAGCAATCAAAGACCATAAATTTTTACAGTCCTTTATTGATATTGTTACCAGGGCGACAGTAATTTTTTTTAGATCTGGCCACTTGTAAACGATATAATAAAAAATTTGTTCACATTTTGAAAATGGAACTCTTTGCCAATATTATTGTGTACCTATGTATTTTTTGGGTGTCACCTTTTGTCCCTCTCCTCCATCGTTATAGGTCTTCATCGTTGCTTAGCACCATTATATAAGATTTTACTCAGCCACGGGCTTATAATGGTTAAAATGTACGTAAAACATTTACACGACACTGGATGAAGTCTTAGCGAGGATAAAAAAGATTATAAACTACGTTATTAATAGATTTTTCATTTATTTTTAATAGTATTCATAACACAGTTAAATTTAGAATATCTAACAAGGTTAATTTTTAAAATAGTGCCCGTAACAAAAACGGTCTTATACTGACAATTTGAAGGTATATATTTCTTTATTTTTAAAGATAGCGAAGATGAAAAATATATAATATATTTATATTTTACTTATTATGCTCTAACCAATGACAATCAACATGCTGTACCACCCTGAAAAATAATTTTGATTTCAGGCCAGCATACTCTACCAAATATCCAAATTCAGGTCTGTCGACTCATTCCTTCTATAAGCTAGAGATCCGTGATATACGGACGTGCAGAAGGATAAACAGACAAACAGACAGCAGAGTGATATTAATAAGGCTTTGGTGTTAATAGGGCTTTTTTTCTTTTGCTAAGGGACGCTAGAATGGATCTACGGTGCTCCTCACTTGATATAGAAAATACAACAGCATTGTGTGTTATTACACGCTGTAGTCTGTACGAATGTAGTCTTTCCCAGTTCAAGTGAATCGCTATATTACTCTAGACATAACACACTGGAATGTGACTTTTCCGCGTAAGAATGCTGTTGTACCTTAGTAAATATTTTTTCATATTAATCTTAGTTTGAATTATCTGACGATAACGTTAAACGAGACCAGTCGCTTTGTTAATAAATAAAACAACTTTACACTCACTTTACACACGATACTTTACGTATTTTTCATATCACTCGATCTTACAATCCATCCAATGGTTAGTTGCTACGGCAGTGCTTGGACATTTTCAGCTAACATCAAATAAGAATAGAGATGCCTAAATAGTTGAGAGAGTGGTACTGTTGTTTAGTACAGGACTCCTAGGCAGAAAAAGGAGTCCTACCGCTAAGTTAAAAATATAAATGTAATTCCTTAAATTATCTTTAATGAAATTGATTTTGATAACGATTTACACGAACCCCATTACAGAAGCATACTACGCATCATTACTTGTTAAACTGAAGACAGAAATTGCGGAAAAACGGCCACTTTTGCAGAAAAAGGAAATCCTTTTTCACCATGACTACGCACCGTCTCACACCGTAGCGATTACCATGGTGAAAATCCACGAAATTCGGTTTGAACTGCTTGACCATCCACCTTACTTATCAGATCTAGCTTCAAGCGACTTCTTTTTGTTCCCTCATCTAAAAATTGCACTTGGAGGTCAGAGATTTTCGTCAAATGAGGAGGCTCTTGTTACTTTCGTGAACAATTATTCTGTAGAGAAAAACAGAGAGTACTATTTGAACGGGTTAGAGAGATGGGAGCATCGCTGTGAGAAGAGTGTAGAGTTACAAGGGGAGTATGTAGAAAAAAAAATAAAGAAAAAATATATTGTATCTTTTTTAGGTATGAAACTTTTCATATGTATGTAACTTTTAACATGAATATAAAATAAAATACTAATTAAAGAAATTACAATTTTCAACGCATTTGTATGCTGCAATTATGAATTTTGTCTGATAGTATATACTGTAAATATGTTAATATCCTGCAAGATAATAAAAATAAATGGCTGTCCGTTAGTCTCACTAAAACTCGAAAACTAACATGCTCGTCAGTTATCAATTATTCTGACCTGTCATTTTAAATCGAGTGCATATCACGACGCGTGCAGACTGCGTCGGCACTCGGCAGTGATTCTTATATTAGGCCCTTACCTATGAAATTGTCATTTTTATGAAATAACTATATATAAAAGCCTCCCGAACAAGCCGGTTTCCGAAAAGGCTTTAGCACCATAGACCACATACATACCCTTCGGCAAATTGTACAGAAGTCCGAGAAGTACAATTTGCCACTATGTCTGGCGTATGTGGACTATGAGAAAGCCTTTGTTTCCGTCGAAATTTGGGCGGTGCTGCAGTCCCTTCAGCGATGCCAAGTTGACTGTCGGTATATCGAAGTGTTGAAGTGCTTGTACAGTAGGGCTACGATGGCTATCCGAGTACAGAACCAGAGTACGAAACCTATCCAATTGCAGAGAGGTGTAAGACAGGGTGACGTCATATCCCCGAAACTCTTTACCGCTGCATTGGAAGATGTTTTCAAGCTTCTGGACTGGAAAGGATACGGTATAAACATCAATGGCGAGTACATCACTCACCTTCGATTTGCCGACGATATAGTCCTTATGGCAGAATCGCTGGAGGACCTAAGCACTATGCTCAATGACCTCAATAGTGTTTCCCAACGAATAGGTCTTAGGATAATCATGGACAAAACAAAGATCATGTTTAATGTCCATGTCACACCTATGCCGGTAGTTGTTGGGAACACTAAGCTCGAAGTTGTTGACGAGTATGTTTACCTGGGACAAATAGTCCGACTAGGTAAGTCCAACTTCGACCGAGA